CGAATTTGTGTTCGCGCGAACTGAACAAATCGTTTTGAAAATTTCGCTCCGCATCAAATGGATACCGAAAAACTTATTAGTGAGATATTGATAGTTAGATTAGATAGTTTGGATAGTTCCTATATTCGTGATAAAGCGTGTGAAATTCGCCAAGGTTTTTCCTATTTTTCATTAACTGAGTGCGTTCCAATTTTAGAGTTAATGATATCTTGAGCTAAAAACGCATTAGTCTCAAGACAATATCGTGCCACTTTTGATAGGGCCATTATAAATAATACTGAGTACATCCACCGCTGACACCGCCGCGGTCGCAACTAGTCGAGCTGTGGCATACCAACGCAAATCGCGTCGCCCGCCGCGCCTCCCGTCGCACCGCGCGCCGCATCGCTAGAAGCTGTGGCCAGGCCCTAAGATGTGTCTAGTATGAAAGTTTAAGTAAAGTTACATGTACCTTCATTCCATATTTCAATATTAGAAAGTACAATGGCTCAAGTAAAGACTATAGTTGATGAAAAATCCTTAATCTTTGAGGAGAAGAAAATAAAAACTCCGTACTCCGCTTTAGCAAAACTCCTACCTACATATGACGGGAATAGGAGAACTCTAGCGTTTTATATAAAAAACGTAGAGAATGCACTAGAACTAATTCACAATACTGAAGATTTAAGTGTTTCGTGTCTTATCAGAAATAAACTAAAAGGTAAAGCTGCTGAAGCACTTTCCGACAAACCAGACGCAAGATCCTGGACTGAAATAAAAAAGGTGCTGTTAAGGAAATTTGGCGAATCCAGGACAGCATCACAACTTGTACACGCGTTAACGCATGTTACAAGAGACAATACGTCTCTAGAAGCATTCGGTGATAGGATTAGGGTACTAATGACCGCATTAATTACAGCTGAACCAGAAAATCAAATTCATTACGAGCAAATCGCACTAGAAACGTTTTTAACAAGCCTAAATCCAATAACAGCCCTTTCAATTAAAATTAAACACGTTGAAAATCTAGATCAGGCAGTCATACTAGCCAAGCAAGAGGAAGTAGACTCTAGAGCTAGACGACTACAACAAAATAGATCCACACCTTCTAGTGTAACAGCTAAAAATAAAATGAATAAATGCGACGGCTGTCCGAAAAGCAAATACGAACAAAATCCGCTAAAACTACCCATATCTTTAACAGACATACCCTATAATATAAACCAATGGAACATATGTTCATTGACCTATATAGTATCGCAAGTACAACATTTTTAACTATCATAGATAACTTCACAAAATATGCCCAAGCAACACCGCTAACCGGTTCAACAAGCATTCACATAGCTGAAGCCTTGCTTAGTCTATTTGCAGTAGTTGGTGTACCTAAAAAGGTAACAACAGACTCTGATTCAAAATTCCATAACGAAACAATAACAGATATATGTGCGCTACACAATATATACATACACATTACCACACCTTATAACACCAATTCTGATTCGCCAATAGAAAGATTGCATTCCACATTAGCAGAAACCATCATAAAGCGTTTAAAAGACAAAGATGAATTAGTTAGCCTCATGAAATACGCAATAATAGCTTACAACAATACTATTCATTCGGCAATAGGTTTTACTCCATTTGAACTATAATATGGACATACAGACAGTAGGGACCCTCTGGAATTACATTGTTCCAAAAAATCCTATCAAGAATATGTAACCAAACATAAACAAATCATTGAAAATACTCAACAATTGATAAACAACAATCAGCATAAAAAATATGCAAAACTTTATGAAAAATTACGAAAATAACTCAAATAAAATTAAAAACAATCAAATAATTTACAGGGCCATAGACAGATACGTTGCACGTAGGACTTAATTGGAAACAAACTACTTACTACCAGCTAAGTTGAAAATTCACTTCAGCAACTTTACCATAGATAAGAAATGACAAGATAGACGATGCAATAACATTCTCTCCCTAGAAAAGATGCACCGTAGTAGTATATTAGCCGCGTCTTACTTATTAGAAGAACTCAATCAAAAACAAAATGCAATCAATGACAATCTAGCATTCGCCCCAAATATCACCACATATGGGAAAAGACTATTAAAGTAAAAGCCTTATTTAATAAAAGTATTATTTAGTAAAAGCTAATGAAACAATACTAATGAAACACAAAACTTCTATATATACTCTAACAACAAAAACACTACCCTTATACCCAAAAATCCTTCCTTCTTTATCTTGGGAAATAACGAGTTTGCATCCCCTTACGAGGCCTGTGACATCATAAGATACAATGAAGTAATTTGTAAACACCTTGAATGAAAAGCTCTCCAACATTCCAATGATTGCATAGCCCAAAGGAACCACATAACTGCACGTATGCCAAAGCAAGTCAATACATTGACATTATTTAACAAATCAAAGACAATAGTTGGATAATAATTATGATACAAGATGAAGTTATAAAAACAATCAGCAACCTGGATTTTTTTATGGGACAAGCCCGCCACAACCTCCCAAAACCGCTGCAACTCCGATAAGCCAGGAGCAGCAACCTGGATGTACAATACCAATGCAATAAAGATGTTTTCGTAATAACGACAGACAGTAGCTGTAAAATCCAAATACAAGATAGAATCCAAAATAGAATGGGTTGATAACCCATCAAATGTACATCAACATTATGGCAACTATATCACTTCCCCGTGCTTACCAAATACCAAAAGTAACTCCAATTTAATTGAAACTAGACAGTATAAAGCTAGACAACTTAAGGATGCTCTACGCCACTCAGAAGATATCACTTCTCCTAATAAAGATGCAGTAACCATCTCATCTACGCCCAGTTGGCCAACTATCACAATGTACATTCTAGTATTCCCCACTGGAGTAGGAGTCGCAGTCTACAAGCTCTGGTGGAAAACTAGTTCGGCGCAAATCACAGCTGAACATCATCATGAACCTTCTGTTTTAATTTTTCAAATCTATGTTTTTATTACTTCCACTGTCACACCTTTATTGTCTTTTTTATATTTTATTTATGCTGCATCGTGCCTGGTGCTGAATAAATGTTTTTTCTTTCTTTCTTATTTCTTTCTTTCTAACCTGAAGAAGTCCAGCTTCGGTCGCAGCCGTCATTACGCCTTAATCTTATGCCCTAGTGACAAGGTCATTATAAAAAAACCACCTTTGTTACTGAGCAATAATTGGGTGATATGAATACATCACGCATCACTTCCTGGTACTTGTCACAAGAAGCTATTATTGAGTTTATATTCCTTTATTATTCAGATAAGTCATGCAGATCACATCTCATATATTGTTTTTAAAAACCCTTTTGCCTTCGCCTACAGCTTAAATCGGGTTAAAAGATTTATTGCGAAGACCTAATAGGAGGAGACGTTTCGTAGACATTTTGTGGTTCTAAGAGTAATAAAAAAATTATTATTAAAAAAACAAAATACCCGACTGCACACTAAAAAAAGAGTAAAACAAGCCCCACAATAATATTGATCAATCAAATGCTAAAAACTAATTATGTAATACCGTTTAAACAATACCTATATTAAAATACACTACAATATGTGTTCGTAATCGATAGTTAAATAAACAGAAACTTATTTTGAATACAAATTTACTGAATATAATTTATAAATGTTGATGGAAAGCATCGCAGGCGGGGACCAACAGAGGCTTATTTATAGTCATTTCGGTTGTGCACCATTTAGCAGAATTTTCGTTGGTGGCGGTCAAGGTGGTCCCCGCCTGCGATGCTTTCCATCAACATTTATAAATTATATTCAGTAAATTTGTATTCAAAATAAGTTTCTGTTTATTTAACTATCGATTACGAACACATATTGTAGTGTATTTTAATATAGGTATTGTTTAAACGGTATTACATAATTAGTTTTTAGCATTTGATTGATCAATATTATTGTGGGGCTTGTTTTACTCTTTTTTTAGTGTGCAGTCGGGTATTTTGTTTTTTTAATAATAATTTTTTTATTTATAACTTTTTAGCTGTTTTTATTTAACGAAAATGTTGTAGATGTAGAAGACTATCGTCAACGACGTGTGCCCTCATGCGTGTGCCCGCAATCGGGCTGTATACTCGAGCATATCCCCCTCCGCACCGCGCCGCGCGCCGCATGCCAGGCCACGCCCTATCTTTTTGCTTGCTAACGCATGAGTTGCTTTGCGTTGACGCAGAATTAACATGTTCCCGTGGGAATTTTGAGAAAAAACGTATCCTATATTAATTACTCCCGTGATTGAAATGAATCTAATGATACCGCATACATATTTTTTTAAAGGGAAATTTAGAAAAAATATTATTATGTCTTTATCCCGTGGGACTTTTAGGATAAAATGTATCCTATGACACTCCCGTAATCAAGACAAATCTAACGATACCTCATACATCAAAATCCATCAAGCCGTTTAGGCTACAGGTGGTCACAAAGGAAAAGACATACATACATACTTACATACACTCGAAAAACATTACCCTCCTTCTTTGGCAGTCGGGTAAAAAATAAAACTCATCATCATGTATAAAAATATTGCAGTTTATTGCTACGTTTAATACAGAGGAGGTACACTATCTAAAATGCATTCAAATGCTATGAAGAGATGCCTTAAAACATAAGAATATTACTCAAATAAATAAATAAGGTGCTCTTTCCTAACATTCAAATAAATTATAATAATTTAAAATTAGGTATTCATATTCGTAACAAAAACAAACACACAAAAAATAATAACTAAAAAAACATAATAGTTACAATAATAACTCGGTTTGTGTGTCCATTACATTTATATTAAAGTTATCTAAAGGGCCTCTGCGCAGTTGGCTTCGGCCCCTCGTACGCCTCCCAAATGACCGGGACCCTGTGGTCCCGTGAATGGTAAAGACATACAATAATAAATAAAAAAAATCGTTAAATATATTTAAAAATGAGGAGGTTCTCATTCGATTGTTTTTTTTTTTTGTCTACAAAACAGAACGCATTTCACTCTAAATCCAAATCTAAATTAAAAAAAAAACAGCACGCATACACACTTACACATATTTTTTTTCTTGCTTAATTAAAGCCTAGGAACTACTTTCTAACACTCCTATTGACTTTTCCGTAGATTTCAGGGAATGCGTCCTTGCAGTATGGCAATGAATCTCGCACTTTGTCATATAAAGTATGGTCGAACATTGCTCTGAACTCATCAAGGGTTGTATATGTGTCTGCGTACAGCATTTGGAAACCATCGTGTTTGGAGACAAAGGCTTCTATGCGACGAGTGGAGGTGACCTGGTGAGATAGAAATTTCTTTTAGTGTTATGGTTAAGGTGAAAAAAGTAGGTACAAATAGGATGATTGCTTCAATACCCGCCTTTTATCGACGGGCTATTTTGAATGGTGTACCTTTTTTAATTTTAAATGCAGCAACAACTTTTCTTTTATATATAATTATACATATACTAGCGACCCGCCCCGGCTTCGCACGGGTGCAATATGCATGTGTTATACATATAAAACTTCCTTAAGAATCATTCTGTCTTTTAAAAAAAACCGCATCAAGATCCGTTGAGTATTTTCAAAGATCTATGTATACATAGGGACAGACAGACGGCGGATAGCGAATTTGTTTTATACTATGTAGTGATGTAGTAGGAAGTAGGACGTCAGTTTACTTACAGTCTCATATCCTTTAGCTTTGGGCACACCATATACGCCGATGTCGACAAACATCTGAGAGTCAGCGTTAGTCTTGATCTTCAGCTGTCCAGGGTGGTTGAATACTCTGAACGGACATAACCAGATCGGGTAAACCTGCAAGAAACATAATTATTTATGTTTTATTGTCGTAATGTAAGTTTTGCATAAAATAACTTATGTACTTATTATTTTCAAATTAAAAACAATGTTAGTAATGCCGCACACACACACACGGTAGCACATTATGGCACTTAATGCCACTGTACAATGTATCACCCACTTTTCACTATTTATATTATGAGTCCCATGTAATAGGTGGTGAGCCTATTGCCATATACCGGGCACAATTCCAGACTCCGTGCCTACTGAGAATTTTAATTATTTTTTTTACCAAAATACTATTGTATGTACGTAATATCAAAAATGTCCTAGATAGATATTACTTTGCAACAGTAGTGCCACTAACGCTATTACTACTTTTAAAAAACGTTTTGAGAATATAAGTAAGTATGAAAAAAACTTCAATAACCTAGGATACTTTATTCATAATACTTCAAATATAGAATAACCAAACACGTCATGTAATTTAAAATGGATTCGGAAGAATTATTTCATTAACAAAAAATCGCGGGTTACTCACGTGAATATACTGAGAAAAGCTCTAATAGTTTCGAACCACAGAGGGGTTCTTCCTCATGAGCAGCGTGCGCGGTCGCGACGATGTCGCGCAGCCTACTCTAGTACGTAAGAACCCCTCTGTGGTTCGAAAATAGTAGAGCTTTTCTCAGTATATTCTCGTGAGTAACCCGCGATTTTTAGTTAATTTAGTATGTCTCACGATAGTTATTATAAAAGTATTATTTCATGTTGAATTTTCGAAAATGCTTGCGTTAGGAATTTCGTAATATTTATCTTTCCTTACCTCAATCTCCTCATGGAAAACATCGATGGCCTTCTCCAGGTGTTCCACGGGTACCAGCATGTCCTGGATGACGTGAGCCTTGTCATACAACTTGGTGACGGCCTCCGGTTGAGTAAGCTTCAGCAGCGACACTTCGGGAGGCATCAGCCATCCGAGTAGGTAACGGAAGATTGGGTGGTTTCCAAATGGAATTATGTCCTGGAAATTAAATGGAATAACTTAGGTTGGGTAAAAAAGAAGATAGATAGATAGATAGAAGAAGATAATTTCAGGCCAGCTAGTAGGTAAACATATAAAGTTTAAGTTGGTGTGGTAGTGATTTGGATCTAAGAGATTTCGCGGAAGATTTAGCGGATTGCCGGGGATCCGGTTTCAAGAGTGGAAGTAGGAACGGATGGTTTTTTGTAAGTAAGAGTCTGATACTCCCGCTCAACTCACCTCACCTTAGGCGGGAGAAGACATTGGACGATTTTGCCCCTCAAAAAAATCTAAGTGACACTAAAAATATGACCTTTCTAGGTAGAATACCTCGAAATAAAAACCAATAGTCAATTAGAAATAGAAGAACAAGAAGAAATTTAGAAAATGTGTTGATGATGATGAATGTTGTGATGATTTTCAAAATCGCTGTACACCGTATTATAGGTACGTTAATCGGCGAACATAACAAGCACCTTAAATGCAACACAGATAATTATCTCTATTTATTTTTGACGCTATGTTGACTGATTTAGGTAATACGCTGATACAGCGATTTTGAAAATCTAAATATGTCCAAATATCAAATTTTAATGGTGACCGTACCTGCAATTCCCAGAAGAAGCTCCTGGTATGCCTGTGGTAGTAGTCCCTGAGAGGTATGTACTCCACAGCAGTACTGTTGTTGGTCAGGTGGCGCTCCACCTGCTTGAAGAACCACTCCGCATACCACTTGCCTATAGGATTGAACTGGAACAACGATAAGACAAAATTGTTAAAGACCTTCTTCAGTTTCAAAATTATTGATTTCTTTTTTAAACAACAACAGAAATAGAAGGAAATAACAAATAATATGTCAACTTCATTTTCAGTCGTTCAGTGCAGTCACTTTTTGAAAGTGTTTGTAAATCTCATTGCTAATTTTCATAATCACAGAATTCACGGAAAATAGAGAACCTGAAATGAGCAACAAGCAAAGATTTAGCTTGGTCCAGATTATGTGAGAACATGGAGTTTTACAATAAAAACACGAACTTTCAATGTCAACGCTAACGACTTTCCGTGGTGCTTGGCGACTGGGCTTCTCCCAGTTGACCCAGTTCTACTATGTACAGTCTCTTTTTGTGCCTTTAGGCTTAATTCATTCTGTCTCCTGCTGTAATTCAACGAGGGATGTGGAAACCGTCGTTTATTACTTCTCCTCTTATCTCTACTGATTTATTTCGTTGTGGGAACTAAAATCAGTTATTCGTGGCCCTGAGACGCGCCCTACTTCAGTGTTTCGGTGTTTTCATGGTTGTATCTACTATAAATACTGACTTACAGGAGTTGCAACGGTTTTGGAAGGTTCTAAAATTCTGAATAGAAGTTGTGTGCTAATGGGAGCTGTATTCATTTACCAACATCACGCCTTTTTATCCCCGAAGGGGTAGGCAAAGGTGCATATTACGGCACTTAATGCCGCTATATAATGTAACACCCACTTTACATGCATGGGGGTAAGCCTATTGCTAGGTACCGGGCACAATTCCAGACTCCGTGCTAAACACTTTTTTAAAAACCCAGTAATACAATACCCGACCCGGGAATCGAACTTGAGACCACTCGGCCAACGAGAGTTGCATTTATTTAAAGGTGAGATAAAAATAAAACTTACCTTGCCATCGTCTCCAATTTTATCAACCATGTTTCCCGTCATGAGAACCCCCGAATTTTTGGTGTACAGCAGAGCTTCAATGAATTGATGTGGTTTATCTTTTAGCGACTCTTCGACAAAATGGTGGGCAAGCTCCGACAGTTTGTTGTACGGTCTGTATTCGAGACGAATGTATCTGGGGAAAAAAATAAATAGCTTATAAACAACCATTTTCCATTTTTAAATAGATTACATGAGCCTTTTAATACTCAAACTACAAAACGCTATAAAATGTAATTTCGGTAAATGATAGTAATGTATGTCGATAATCGATAGTAATGCATGGTTAGTGCATACGATACGAGTTCGTAGCGTATTCTCAGGCGACGCGTAGTACAATCGTAACGTGTAGGTGTCGCATGCGTAGCGAGATCGTAGCGTATTCGTAGACACGTGTAGTAGTCTCGTAGCGAGATCGTAGCGTATTCGTAGACACGTGTAGTAGTCTCGTAGCGTGGAGGTGTAGCATACGAATTTAAGGACTTTTCTGTTTTGTTTTGTTTTTTTTTCTTTTTATAATTATTTGAAACGTATAACACCTTGGTTTTATGACTGTAATGTTATACTATTTAATTGAAATAAATAAATAAATAAATACGAATCACGATCACAGCGTATTCGTAGACGCGTTTCGTAAGTACATAGTTTGCCTACGTAACATGTGTAGTGTCAAAGTCAAAGCGTTTATTGCAACTATAATGTATAGATGATGGTTATAAAATTATTACAGTGCTTAATACTTAGCGGCCTCTTACAGACATTGCAACATTTTCAGTTATATAGGTACACATTCATTGTTATTAACATTGTAGGTAGATATTACAAACCATAAAAAAAATATTGTCAGGTATAGATCACATCATAGTAATAATAAATTCAATAGGTATAATTGCTGTCGAGTTCAAGATGTCAATAATAAAATTATACAATGTCAAGGTATTACAATGTTATGTTATGTCGAGTAGGTAGGTATAATGAGTGTACATACTATCTGGAAGATGTGTAGTCATAGTATTTGTTGACTACAGAATAAAAAATATGGTAATAATTACTTTTTAGCTGGAACTACTTTGATGACAGCTGAAGTTAGAAAACCGAGGGTGCCGTACGACCAGGGAACTGCGTAGAAGAGGTCAGGGTTCTCGTCCTGAAAACCAAAGATTAATTTCTGATTTTACAAAATTTTATGATCAAATTCAATGCAAGTATAAAATATCTGATGGTCTAGATTCTAAATGAAAATTTAATTAGGGAAGTAAGTAGGGCGTTCCTTGTCTATGGTCCACAGATAACTATGATTTCAGTAAAATAATAAGTTTGTGGACCATGGACAAGACTTCATTTTTCATTTTTTAGCTTTTATTTTATTTTATTTTTATTTTTTAATTATGTTATGTGTGTTCTGCGCAAAAATAAATGGTTTTTCTTTCTTCTTCTAATTAAACTGGATAAATATATATGTATGTACATACTTTCCATATTTCTATCAACACATGTCGTACACTTAAGATCCTTAAAAATAAACATCCCAATACCTTACTACAGGTAACAACAGATCCATCAGCGAGCACCAGCTCGTACTGCAGGCAGAAATGTTGGAAGAGGCCGTAGATATGAGATGAGGACTCTACGCCAGTGCCCATCACCAGCCCGCCCACCGTAAGCTGGTCCAGCTCAGGTACCACTGCTAGAGCCAGGCCTAGAGGCTCCAGAGTCCTTGATAGCTGGCCCATCGTCACTAAAGGTTCGCAGCGGACAGTCTGTCATGAAAACATTTATGAACTTACATTTTTTCGTAATGGTTTTTATATTTGGTATAAATTGATTGTATGATTTTACGTGTAAGCAATATTCATCTCGTGGGAAGAAATATCAAGATTTCAATGTATTTAAATTTACATATTGGTGGCATAAAGTTTATTGAATTGTTCTAATTGTGCAAAAAAGTAGCATGTAGTACTAAATAATAGATCTAGAATCTAGAGTTATTATTTAGCAGTATCTAGAGTCTGGATACTGCGTAAACTTGGCGTAAACATCATTATTGTTATTTTTGGAACAAGATTTTGAAACAGGCTGCAGAATAATTTGAAATTCTAAGCATGTTCTGTTCACACCGTGACTTAGCGACAGGATTTTGTTTTTAAAATGAACCGGTTTGAATTGACGCAAGACTTTATACATCTTTCATGTGCATAATGCGGGAATTTGATTTGCTCAATACCTGATTTAATCGATTCTGTATCTTAGTAACACATTATGAAGAAACATTGTTGCCGCTACAACTTTTGAATAGTTATCTTTCTTCTTCTATCTACCCCCTTCAATTCACTTGCAGTTTTTATTATTTTTGTCAATTATGACTGCAGTTCCCTTTTCTACCATTATCATACATGCCAAAATTTTCAAATCTCTATCATTATACTTCTGCGCTTACCCTCTTTTTCATCTCCTTTCTTGATCAATAGCAATTTAACTCGTCGAGTACCGGTTTTATAGACACAATTAAAAAACAATAGGTCGCGGTCACCGGTGACCGCTTGGTGTTTGACAGTTTAACCACTCAATTAACACCATTTAACTGAATCTGACGTAATAAGGATAATTTAATTATTACTATCAATTTGTCTAAACGTGCTTACCATGTTCTCCATATCGACTTCCAGCACGTCAACTAGGTTGACCTTGATATTGGTGAAGGTCTTCTTGTAGATACCCTGGCGGAAGGACATGGCCTGCCAGCCTGGCCGGGCGGTGCACAGCCTAGTGCTACGGTCTCCTGCCAACCACGCTTTCACCTGGAACGGAGAATGGATGGATGATTTAATGGTAATACAAAAAAAAGATAACGGTAGCCTTGTTTCCAATTGAGTTATAGGTCATTATGTGGTAGTTTTTAGCTACTAAAAGTCTGACAATCCCTTTCATCGTACCCAGATGAAGGGGCTCCATGAAGATTCTCCACCTTAAGGTAAAATAGAGCAATTATGGGAGACAATAGAATGCCAAATGGTACGATGATATTATAGGTTCCAAATATATAAATTTTCAATTTGTGCTACAAAAGTGAAGTGGTTTTTACAGTTAACAAAACCAGTTCCTTGTTTGAGTATCAATCGTGGATTTTTTTATGGAATCAAGCAGACGAATAACCTGCTGGTAAGTAATCAGTGCCGCCCATGGACCCCTGAAACGCCAGAGTCGTTAAAAAGAGCGTTACCGACGTTTTGTGATTTGGGGATTGAGGAGACTGAGGAGGGGGGTAATTGGGCCTCCATTGGATCAACCAATTCCAAGTTTATGTACATGTATGCATACGTTCTTTTTCCTAAAATCGCACACCATTGAACCTTCAATGTTATTTGATGGATTCACAATTTCTTATGGATGGATGACATGCTTAACACTAATGAATTGAAAATCATCAGCCAACTAACCTGGCTCTGGACTTCTTTCACTTTCTTTATATGCATCTTCGGAGCACTGTTCAGCTTGAACACCACATAGTTCCTGAATGTAGACCATATCTTCCAAATCAAGGAGACAGGAAGTAGAGCCACCATTACGATTATCCATCGGTGTTCCACCAGGATATACTCCAAAAACGTCTCCGTTTCTATTGCTGTCATTGTCCCTAATTACGAAGTAGCTGAAACTATCAAAAACATAACATAATATCACGCCTTTCATCCCTGAAGGGGTAGGCAAAGGTACACGTTGCAGCACTTAATGCCACTGTACCAAATACCTATCCTAATTAATTCTTAGATTTGGGAACAACGAGCTAATATTCCTTCACATATCAGGAGGACAGTTTTATTATACCCTGCCTGAAGTATAAACTAAAGTTGACCCTCTTTGTGGAGTTTAGAATTTAGTGTTAATGTTTCTTCTTGACGTTAGGAAAGACGTACACTGTTGAAACTAGATAACTACAGTAGTCAGCGCTGATATGCTTTCGAACATTACAACCAAACATTACAACTTTGATTGGAAAGAGATATATCCTATCTAAAACAATAAAAAGTTGTGACGCCACACAGGTGTCTGCATACATAGAGATAAAGAAAGGTCGTAGGTAAACAATAAGGTTAATCGGCCATTAATTACTACCTAAATAATTGCAACAAAATAATAAAATACAAAGAAATGTCAAATACTTCGTGTCCGATAATTCCGTTCGCGGTTGATTAGGTAAAGAATAATTATTCACGATAATTACTATCTTTCTGCAGGTGTTTGAAATATTTGTTAATCCCTTCCAGAAACTACGATTCTCAATTGGTATAATTATGTAGATATATGCCTATTTCCTTAGAATAAGTACTAGGTATTGGTCAAAGGAAAGTATTTATATCAATTTTTAATTAAATTACACCAAAATAGATCCTTTTCGAGTCACGACTTGTTAAAATATGTTCATTTATCGGTGTAGTTTGTAGTTGGTCTCAAAGTGTAGGTTTTTAAAGAGAAGAGCTAGCAACTAACCAATGATTTTTATCAATCGCCTTTAACAGTTCACTGCTGGACCAAGGACGTTGAAAAAGAGGATCATTTCTAAGCAACATTATGTCCTAACTAGCTACTTCCGCGCGGTTTCACTCGCTCTGCTCGGCGCCTATTAATCGTAGCGTGGTATTTTATAGCCTTCCTCGATAAATGGGGTATCAAACACAGAAATAATTTTTCAAATCGGACAAGTAGTTTCGGAGATTAGCGCGTTCAAACAAACAAACAAAAAAACAAACTCTACATCTTTATAATATTAGTATAGATGTCACTTAGAAATGATTGAAGCATTAAAATCATCAACAGCCTATAAATGCCCCTTCTCACACGGAGAAGGTTTGAGCATTGATCACCACGCTTGCTTAATGCGGGTTGGCGATTACAAACTTATTATTAGAAATTCTAGCCCAGGTTTCCTCGCGATGTTTTCCTTCACTGTTTGTCAGTGGTGTCTAGATAATCTTAGAAAGTACATATAACTCGGAAAAAGTCACATTGGTACTTGCCGTTGGTAGGTTTTGAAACCGCACCCTCATACATGAGAAGTGGGCGTCTTACAACTCTGGGCTGCGACGACATAAGCACCAAAATGGCAGTGGGTTATTTATGTGTGCGTGTGTAATGGGTTACCACCGATTACCTCATTACCAGACTTAAGATAATGACTGATGTCCTTCGTGTCAATGTGTGTGTGTTCTGTGTATAAGTCTATAGTAGCCAGGTGCCACAGTTATTGTTTCAAAAGACTGTATCCACCTTTTTTTCAACGTCCTTGTGCTGGACTTTTTTTTTAAGTGAGTAAAATCATCGAATGGCTGCTCCCGCCTGGGTGAGGCGGGAGGGAGTGTCAGACTCTTACTGACTAAAAACCACCTCGTTCTTTCTCCTGCACGTCGAGCCGGAGCCCCGGTTACCCGTTAGGTTCTCCGCAACCTTGTGCTGGAGTATGACTTCTGTGAGCGTCTATCACATAATGGTTAGTCTCATTATCGCCACGTTTGGTCCGCGTAAGTGAACTTTTAGACTGCAATCTCCAACTGTCACTGGTTGGATCACAGTTTAAAATGTTCTATTTTCTCAAAGGGTGTACGATATCTATTATAAAACTAGAATTACTTAATTTAAATACAGATCGAGCGGTTCATTGGTAAGCGAAAATCCTAAAACCGATTTTTTTCGGATTTAGGTAATCATTGGTTTTTTAACATTCTATTAGGTAGATCAGGTTCTCTTTTAGGACGGAGGAGGACCCGGTGCCTCCATTCAGGTGTTGAGGGTGGACACCGGGGTGGTTATAGTGGTAAAAATCCACCAATCCCTAGTCTTTTATCCCCAAAAAGGCTGGGCGCCTTTTGAAGGTTTACCCCCGTCATCAAAAAAAAAGGTAGATCAGGTTAGTCAGACAAATCGCCATCAATAATATAACAGTTGTTAGAGTTTTTTGGGATGTGACAAAATAGGTGTAAGTAAATGAGCATTAATTACAATATAAATGGTTAATAGCACTGTGCAGTCTGCTCAAGTATTAGGTATAGTGTTTCTTTCTCCTTTTGCTCTTCAAATTCCAAGAAGTTCACTTACTTAAATAAAATTAGACCGTTGTCTCGTGGAGAATTTAGATCTAAACGAGACGTTGTGTATTTTTTATTGAGTCTCATTAGTCGCAGCCAAGAGCCAACAGGTTATTAGAGACAGGTCTCCAAAGAAGTGTAACAATATCAGATCATAGTTTTAGGTATCGCTATTCGTCCAAAATATGTATTGTACCTATTGTTCGTTTCCTTAGTTGCAATGAGGCTTCTCTAAAAATATTTCGTTAATATGTATTTCGACCGGGCTGTGGCGATGATCAAGACCACAATGAAATAGTTATCACTACATAGTATAAAACAATGTCGCTATCCGCCGTCTGTCTGTCCCTATGTATGCTTAGATCTTTAAAACCACGCAACAGATTTTGATGCAGTTTTTTTTTAAATGAAAGAGTGATTCTTAAGGAAGGTTTATAATGCATATTACATGCATATTGCACCCGTGCGAAGCCGGGGCGGGTCGCTAGTTTTTAAATGTAATATTACACTTTTATTCCTAAAATTTGGGGCAAACAGAGGCACATATTAAATGTAACACTCATTTTTCACCTGTTCTTTTATAATTACCAAAATCAACATTGCATTATACGTTTATATAAGTACACACAAAAGTTGATATCTTTCCCACACAGTTATCATAATTAACTGGCGTTTACTCAGGTTTTAGTGTTTGATAATAAATCTAGTGTCATTTGTTATTACTAGACTAGTTCCGCGAAATAGAATGTCTTTGTGATACAGTATAAAAAGTCAAGTTTTGTAAAATACTGATGTTCAGTGTTCAGTCATCTCACTGGTAAATATTTTATGGACACACCAGAAAAAGGATAATTTACGAACACAAATATTATGTAATGATTTACATTTTGTATACCTTAGATATAAAATTGTTTCAAACCAAAACTAATTTCATCAAGTGTGATCGTTGATCATGAAGTCTAAGGATCGTATCCTTGGTTAATCGATCCAATTTTTCGAATGAAAACCTACTTACCGAATATCGGTTATTACTGATATTCACAAATTCCACGTAAAACCAGACCATGAAGAATAAAAATAATATTTTGTAAATTAATAATTTTAGTCTGCTACGTATCTAGATTATTAAAATTGAGCTAGACTTTGTAAAAATCTAAAAAAGATTCGTTCTCTAATCAAATTGGTTTCAAATTACATGTAGTTTTAGGTGACGACAATGGTGAATTTAATGGACGTCTGTTTGAACAAGCCATAATGTTACGAGCCAGAGTTTTTTAGAATCAACGCAAACCAACGTTAGTAAACAAAAAAATTAAGATGCTTACCCTTTACAGTAACCAAAAATATTTAAATAACTCTATCAGACCTTCAAAAAAACTTTAATACTTATTTATTTTCTGTGATATGTTTTATACAAATCAGCGTAACAAACACTTTATTTTTTATATTTGACACAAGAGCAAAGAGTGTGTTGGTCTGTGCCGGCGGAGCTCTGCCGCCAAACTGAATTCAAGGGCACGACCATCAATTAACATGCAGGACATCGATCTATTTTAAAAACAAGCTAAAATACACCTTATCCCCTGGCAATAAAGAAAAAAGTCTTAATTTAGCTACTGGAATTTAAACAATGTTCTCGTAATATGACGTTTTTAAATCCGAACCTAAATCAAAATTGTTTTATCGTAAATTGACCGGAGATATTAGTCAGTTCTTATCTTGTAATACAGATTAATTAATTACGCAAATTAAACACATTGTTGCTAAGTACTTGATGAATGAATGTAAGTAAATAGATCAGAATTTACATACCTACCGCAATTATTTTATTGTCATCTTTATAATTTCTATTTCTTTTTTTTTTTAACATGAGTGAGACGTTGCACAGACTATATCAAAAGGTATTTTCGGAATTCGTTGTTTAGCCAGGTAATTCATTAATTAACTCTTCAAATTTAGTTACAGAATGCTGTTGCATAAATAAATGCAATGTTTTGAATGAAAAAAAGGTAAAAAATGGAAAATAAAAATAAGTAAAACTCAATTAAATAAAAGCATGTGTTGCTCTACTATTTGTTGTAAGTACTTCATTAGGTACCATTTTTTGTAGACTTTAGGAGACCCAAATCTGTAGGTACTACTTAGGTACTAGTCATTGTTGTCGTTTAGAATCATCTAGATAAAATACCTAAATAATCTGAAAATACGTAACTACTCTAAATAATAATTTTCTAGTGAAGGAACTTCTTATCAACGAAGATAAGGGTTTTGGGACAAATAAAGTACCACATCTTATACAATAGATAAATTTAATATCACACACATAAATAAATCAATGTCGACATTAAATTAAACTAAATAAAATTACTATTTAGGTACACATATCACCGTTTTTCCATAAATTAACCAACAAAAACAACAATTAATGTTGATCAGAAATTTTTATCAAAAATAATAACACAAGTCACCATTATTTCTTATTTATGCAAAATAGAATCACAGCTTACTCTTTGAGCCCTCGTGTTTTACAGGTATCACAGTATCCTTTTTCACGATAGGGACACGGGGAACAGTGATGATGAGTAGCCCGTCAGCCGTCATTCTGGACTTTATCTCCTCAATTCGACATCCTTCTGGAACTTGGAATCTCCTCATGAATTGCCGAGCGATGTATCCATAGTCGTCTTGTTTTTCCTCATGTTTCCCTTCCACAACAATAAACCCATCAGCTGTTTTCACTGATAATTCCTCGGGGGCATAGTCGTGCACCTTTATACATATTTCATACTTATTATGTCCGCGTTTCACTACATTTTCTTGCTTCCAAGGAAACCCTTCTAACCAGTCGATCGAACGCAATAGCGTGTCGTCTCCAAATAGTGGCGGTGTTTGTATAGTTGGCAGCTGAAGCATTTCGTATTTTTGTCGAATTATTCTAGAAATGTCATTAAACTCTGCGTCTTACTACGCAGACTCGCGTTACGCTATCAAGCGCGTCACAATAACTAAACCTGTTTTGTTATTTAGTTCGTAAAAGTTAAAAGCAGATGGCGCTTTGTAAAGGTTATAGGTTAGCTAATCACTAGTTGCATGATTTTATGTTAGGTAAATGTTATCTGTGGATAGAATTTCGTAGGTACTATAATTTGGCGGCAAAATTTAACATGGATAGAAAGATTTTTTTAAACATGGTTCTGAATTGAATCTATAAGCTTTTCAAGTTACCTAGATTTTACAGATTGGACTCTCTTTATAATTGCTCTTGCTCGTAATAATTTGAATAAACAGCAAAAGTGGTACCTAACAACAAGAACATTAGGTCATTTGTTTCACTGTATATAGATATTTACGTATCATTTCAAGTCGTTAATAACTTATCTACCAGTAAAACTGAAATAGTTTAATGTTTTTAAAATTAAATTGTTATTACAGTTAAAGACAGATGTCGCTTTAAAAGTGATTGTCTGGCTTTATCGACACAAAACAGCTGTTGCAGTTCTAAGTTCTAAGCTTCTGTTAATCTATGTACATAAATATATATAAGTTACCTAAACTCGTTCAAAGTAAGTAGACCCTTAATAGTTTTAGTTATTTTTTTTCATATTTGTCTTATTACATGCAGTTGAATGCTTTTTTGGAGTTCTGAAATTAATAGCCACAAAAATTTGTCTTAAAGTCGTGACATTTTGTAATAAACTAACTTTATCTATTCTTTAGTGATTAAAGCTGATTACTAAAGTTGTATCTTAGTAACCGTTTTATCGTTGGTCAGTAATGGTCAGTGTCATTGTCAAGACTTCCAAACCTAATTGTTTTCCTGTAAAACAGGTTATGTTTTTGTTTTGAAACATGTTTTTTCAATTGCATGTTAAGTTATTCATAATACAGAGTAATAGTGGTGGGATATGATAAAGTAGATATCTCTTAGTGTAAGAGACATTGAACTGGATTTAAATTCTAGATGTGTTTCAATAACTTTTTTGCAACGTAACTAACTAAAAATAACATGTTACTGTTTAACTTTATCAGTTTTTACTTCATAATACTTCTCAAGGTACAAATTTATATACCTAAATGTCTTTATTTCCTAAGCACTAAGTCTTAATCTTAGTCAAAGTCTGAATTTGACTTTAACTATGACTTAGACAGAAGTGCTTTGTATCAAAGCACTTCGGTCTTAAGGTAAAGCCTTTGAAGATGGGCAAGAATTCACGAACCACTTAGTTATCTATACAATACTTACATAATATCTCCTACATATAATACCTGACGAAGTAAGCAATAGATAGAAATCGTACTCAATTCAAATTTTAAAGGTCTTTCTAGAAATGCAGCACTAAGTCTCAGTAAAAGTAATTCTACAACTATCTTGCTCTATGATACCTAATTATAATATCCCTGAACTTTATTACATAACCAATGTCACGCACAACTGATAACAATAACAATGTAGTTTAATTTTACACAGTTACACGACAATGTCGGTGAATAAGGTAGCAGTTGTTACTGGAGCAAATAAAGGACTTGGATTTTGCATAGTCAAAAAACTTTGTGAGAAGTATTCCGGGAAGGTTTACTTAACTTCAAGAGATGAGCAAAGAGGAGAAAAAGCGTGTGATGAATTGAAGAAATTAGGTCTCAATCCATTCTTTCATCAATTAGACGTCAGTGATAAGAAAAGCGTAAACATTTTCGTGAAACATATTCGTGACGAAAATGAAGAAGTTGAAATATTGATTAACAACGCGGGAATTCTATTTTTGAAAGACGCGCCAGAACCAAAGAGTTTTCAAGCGGAACAAACTATTTTCGTAAACTTCACAGCATTGGTCGATTTCACAGAAGCCATCCTGCCATTTATGAAAAGTGGCGGGAGAATTGTGAATATTAGCAGTTCTTCTGGCCACTTGTGTAGAATACCTTCCGAAGACTTAAGGAGCAAATTTCAGTCAGAAACGTTGACTTTAGAGGGATTGAAGACTTTGGTCAATAGTTATGTTGAAGATGTCAAACAGGATAAAGAAATCAATAAAGGATGGGGTGACTCTTCATACGTAGTTTCAAAAGTTGCAGTCAATGCCTACACTTTTATGTTACATCGTAGATTAACTCCAAAAGGTATTTATATTAGTTAGAGATTAGATTATTAGTTTCCTGATGAAATTACTTATTTATCTTCGAACTGATTTATACCTCCAACGGAAATAGCATATCATTTCTCCACTGTCCTTACAATGTAATATGTATCCTTTCGTTCTTTATCAGTTTTCAGACATATATCATATCTATTTGATTCTAGTATTTGTATTATGCTTGATACGCCTGGTTCTGGTCAGATGCAAGTACATTTACCTAAATTATATGAAAGTAACTTCTGCGTGATCATTCCAGGTATAACTGTGAACTGCGTTCATCCAGGATATGTGATGTCTGACATGACGCGCGGTGGCGGGTCAATCACCCCGGACGACGCGGCCAACGTGCCAGTGCGACTGGCCTTGACCCCGTGGGGCGCCGGCCTATATGTCTGGCACAACGGTACCGTAGTGCCATGGGACGGGCCAGACCCTCGCGGTTATATTGATGGAAGAAAAGTATAGTCAAACATTTCGTATGAAAATACTTTCTTTTCAGTTACTGTACAGTTCAAGACACCTGTGGATGAGTCGCTACTAAAAATAATATTCCTTTAAGAATAAGTTCGAGTGTCTTATTTTTATCGAACACCTGTTACTTGCCATTATTTTTATCCAATGCATCTCTTCGGTGCCTTGTTTGTGATAAAAGATAAGGATTGTCATTAAAAGAATGAATGTATAATTTCTTGCTTTAATTTTAATGATCTTTCTCATGGTTAATGTCTCAATAAGGTACAAATGGAACAGCGAGTTATTGGCATCTCATTTTAATATAGAAAATATAATCTGTCATAACAGGGATATGATTCTAGTAAATATATAATTATATAACGAATATACATATATTACGCTCAGCGGAACGCAGTAAAGAAGTAAAGAACGAAAAAAGAATTCACTCTAAGAAATATGATAAGTCATCACCGGGGAGTGAACCAAGACAGAACGAAAATAAATAAATCAAACTTTTTAAATAAAACAAATAGGTTAATTTATTTTACAAATTCCTTTGTTATCATATTTCTCTCGTTAAAATATGCTCTTTCTTAATACAAAGATTTTTCGATCACATCACCAACGGAAAGAAACAATAATATTACTGAATAGAAAATATAATATCCGCCGTCGGGACCAGTCGAATTGCACGTGTGTGGGGGTCTACTTGGCGTCGATGCACTCGGCAGGGTGCTGCGCCGACTTGGCGGGCGCAAAGCCGGGTGGCAGCGGGATGCCGGCGTAGCCCACGCCCCAACCCAGCTTCTGTCCCCAGCCCGCGCCGCTGGAGCCGCCCATGGGCCCGGCGCCGGCCATGGCGAGCGAGGGCGCGGCGTGTAGTTTGACACCGTTGGGCTGCACGCCGAGCTGGTTGAAGCGCGCGAACAGCTCCTGTTGCTGCTGGCTGAGGGCGGAGGCCCCAGCGCTCACCCCCGCGCCGCTCGAGCTCGAGCTTGTGTTGGCGTTGCTGACGCCTACGTTCTTGCCGAAGTTCACTGAGTTCACTGATGTCGACATTATCGCGGGGTCCATTTGAGTCCAGTCTGAGAACATGGCGCTATTTGAGTTATAACCTGGAAAGGAATCAAATTACGTCGTAAGGACAAATATTTCTCTAAGAGAATTAAATGTCCTGCTTATTTTTTAGATAGAATAATTGCCCTCCAGGTCGTAGCTAGTAAAGAGAATAAATATCATGTCAAATTAACGACAATACGATATCTGTTAATAGAAACTTGTTGGTAATACAACAAACAATAGAAGTTAATCATACAGATTAGAAATATTTCTAAAAAACAATTTAATAGGTAATAAATAAATAAAATAAATTAATATCAATTACTTTGATGGTGTGTCTGTTGTGGGCGAGGCTGTCCTAAACCGAATGCGTTCATATGACTGAAACCGGGTGGTGCGTGGCGGGAACGACGTACACGGTCCATATTATCACTGGAACATAAAAAAAATAAACATGGTCAAATAAAATTCAAAACTGGTTCCGATTTTTAATTTCTGTCTACCGGGCATGGACAACGACATTTATCTATAAACCATAAAACGGGATGAATAGATAGGTACAGGTGAGATTTTCTAGTTTTTTTATATCCTTAATAAGATGACGTTTGGCCTCGACATGACATCTCGCCTGGTAGTAAACGATGATGTGGCCGATGATGGTGCAGGCCTACATATGTATGAGTATCTATTTATCTCTCCAATTCTTTGTTTTGCGGTACGCAAACTAGCGGTATTTCTCTGCTCATTGCACTCTACTCACCCACTAGAAACTGTGTTTTGCATCATTTCTGTCTCCATTAGTTCTGCGAACGCCTTCTGTGTTTCTTTGAAGGGGTCGAAATCTAGGTCATCGTCTCCGTCGCCAGCCGCGCGACCACCGTTACCTTCGTTACCGCGTATATTGTTCATTCTGAAAGTTATTTCACTTACAATTAGCACAAAGATGGTAAAAGTAACCACAAATATTAACACTGAGTACCTATTTTTTTCTCTGGTAAAGTATATTTTTTTTCTGCTACTTTATTTAAGTCACTTAAACAAGAATTACCATACTTTGTGCAAATAAACATTCCTATTCTTAAATAACAGGCATACAATCAAACGAGCTACAAGACGGAAATCAGTCACTATATCCCATGGATGTCTGCAATATTACTTATGTCCACTTTAGATCAGATGCTGATAGATCGTGATCGTGAGATAGGATGTATAGATATTAAGAGTGTATTTAGTATAGTGGAGGATCAATAGCAATGTTCCAACTGACATTCAGTCAAAATGAAATTCTCTTTAAAGTAAAGATGTAGTTGTACCTTTGTTTGTGTTCCATCTCGAGCCTCTCTGCACTAAGCATATTGTGTGGGTAGTGGCCGTGGTCGATAAAACGCCGCTCTTCCGCGCCTCGCTGTAACTGAAGCCGCATCTGTTGTGCCTTGTGGAAGTCTGTGAAGAACTTGTCCATGTTCTCTGCTAAATACCGCACTTCATTCTGTCGAGTAAATACAAACATTGTTTTATAATTGATGACGCGACGTTACATTATACAAAAATTACAAACCTGTGGAATTGAGAAACCGCGCGCATTCTTATAAAAATGCTTAAAATTATGATAAAAATGTTCTTGTAATAAATAAACAAATAAAGGAGCCACTTACCGCCGACTGTGGTGCATCGAATCCATTAACAAGGCCAGTCTGTTGCATCTGTTGTTGATTCTGTTGCAGCAACTGTTGATTGTGCATCATGAAGCCCATGGAGTTGCCGCCTAGCGAGCTCGCCGACAGCGAGCTACCGCCCATAGAATTGTCTACGCGCATACCGAACGGTGGAAGCATATTGGGATTTGGATGAAAATTAGCACCTGCACAAACATCCCAAGAATTAACTCGCGAACAGAGGGCGACACAAGAGAAACAATGCGAGAACAGATAGCTTACCTAATAATTCACTAGCTGAGTCGAGTCCTATACTAGAAGATTGCATATAGTGTTTAGGCTCAACCATGTGTTGCCTCGCTAGAAGCTCGTTCTGTCTCATAAGCATTTCGCTCTGGCTGCGATCCCGAAGCAGGAGTTCCTTCTGGTCCATGAGGCCTTGGTTAATTTGACTAAGGGGTCTGTCGTTGGCGAGGTATGCGTCCAGCAGGCCGTAGCCATTGAGGAGTGGCTTGTGCTGGGCGAGGGGATCGTGGCGCAGGTCTGTACGGAGGTCGACACGGAGGTCCGTGCGCAGGTCGGGGCGCAGGTCGGTGTCGGAGAGCAGATCGTGGCGCAGGTCGTGGCGCAGATCGTGGTCCAGCAGGTCGCGGCGCAGGTCGCGCTCGTCGTCCAACAAGGAATGCTTGTCGAGCAGAGAGTGTCGGTCGGAGTCCAGGTCGTCCAGCTCGTTGGACAGGAAGCTCTGCGTCTCGCTATCGAACACGGACGTGTGCGTCGTCTGCGTGCTACTATATTGTTTGGTATCTAATGTTTCGGTATCGTTATTGTCATTATTAATACTATTGCTAGACTTTTGTTTGGATTTGTTGTCAGTTTTACTTTTCTTGCTACTTTGGCCGTTTGTGCTGTTAGTTTCCTTGCTTCTATTTGTTTTACTATCTGTGTGTGTGTCTTTACTTTGTTTTGTTTGAGCCTGTTGTTGTACCTGTTGTGTGGGACTGGAAGATTCTGATGTGCCGTTTTCTTGTGACTTAACTGGAAATATTATCAAAATATATTAATTATGTATTCCTATATAAATTCCGTGACAGTGACCGAGTATTAAAACTATATTTAGCCTCTTACAGACTGTTGTAGTATTAAATTGATAGCAACACGTACCCGTAGTGTGTTGTGGTTTGGGACTGGGCTGTTTTCTGGCGGGACTATCTGAAGGCGGCGAGGACCCGAGGCTCGGCCAGGCTTCCTTGCCACTGCCATTACTGCCCACCCCGTTACTGCTGCCCGCACTGCTCGAACCACTGTTGCCGTTTACACATTCTTTTTTATTAGATCTGCAAGATATGCGACTAATAAACTAGAGGTTGGGGGTGCACTCTACAGTACAGGACTGATTTTGTTGGGCGTGGCTGACATTGGAAAACATACAGGAACTAGGCACAAATCTATCGCATCATTACTTACTTATCAATCCTTGTTAAATAAAGAAAATATTACTACTAAATCAGTTTTAAAATGGATTAATTATCTTATTCAACGCATTTATTATCAATGAAATCAACGCCGACCGACGCTTGCGGAGGATTTGCCTTCAGTTTTTTATCTGCCGTATTTATGACTTAAAATTCCTTTTTCCCGTTACCCAATGTCAGTCATACCCCACAAACTAATCTAGCCCCCATTAGGACGAATACAGCTAGTGTCTATTGAAAGTGTTTGTGAAAAGTGTGTGACAAATGATTTATAAGGAAATGAATACTTAGGAATCCTAGAACATATAAACTACTACACATACAACGTGTAAGAGAAAAGTTTGGTCGCATTTTAGAGGTGAAATGTACTCATAATATTATCTTTCTCTAAATTACCCATTTAGCATGAGGGAAACTTACAGCATAACAATTTATCGACGCTCTTTTAACTGTATTATTAGTAAAAGTAACCATAATACGAAAAATAAGATTGTTTCTAAATTAAATTGCACAACCCACTTGGGAGAGATGATTGAATCTGAATACTAAGAATTTATACTGATGACCAGTTTAACAATATGGGAGTACTATAAGTCCAATGTAAGCCGACGCGACAGTATTCTGAAGTTCATTGTAAGTTAATTCTCTACACAAATATGAGCACATTGACCCCCTTAAAATGACATATAAACCTTTTTATTACATGTTGTATTCCGTTTTCTCAGCTGTATACGCCCGTAAACCTTGTTGAAGCAACAGTACTCACTTAGAAGAATTGACTACGTTTATATGAGAAGGAGTGACCACTGTAGTTGGTATAAAGTTCGACTGATTACCTGAAAATTTCAAAAAACACATATTAGAATTTTCTAGAAGCTTGTTCTCGGTATAGTCTTTAGAGAA